TAAATTTATAGCAAATCTGGTACTTCTGTGAGTACACTGAGTGTTAAGAAACACTATGGAATTTCTAATGTGGATATTTTAATTTACTCTAAAGTATGTTTATTGCAATGCTATATAACTGGTTGTGTTTTGTTTAAATAAAACACCTGAGCAACAAAAATGAATTATTTCTGAAGAAATGTTTTACCTATAATACAACTGGGTAATTTTCAATCCTGCCTTTCTCCAACCTGCCAGCCCTTTTTTATTATTTCAGTAATTACTCAAGAGCAAGTTACATATTTTTGTTTTTTTTTTAAATCCAAACCACAAAAAATAAAAAGAGAAAAAAATCCAGCTCCCCTTTTTTTAATGATGTCAAGATGTTCACACCTACTCTTCATTTTGGGGGAGAGAGTGTAATCCACTGTTGAAAAAGTTGCCTGCCTCTGTTCAATAATAGAGTTGAATTGTTTACACCAGAGGTCTGCAACCTTAAACACTGAAAGAGCCACTTTTTCACAGAAAACAAAACACCAGGAGCCACAAAACCTGAGTGGGCGTGGCCGACTAGATATCACTCACTCCCATCCAGTCAAATGACCCCCCAGCCATGCCTACCCAGGTTTTGTGACTCCCCGTGTTTTCTTTTCTATGGGAAATAGGTATCTTCCTCTCTGTCTCTCTCTCCCTCCCTCCCTCTCATCCCTCTTTCTCCCTATCTCCTTCTCTCTCATCTCTTTCTCTCTTTCTCTATCTTACTCTCCTTTATCTTTCTCTCATCTGTCTTTTTCTCTCCATCCCCTTCTTTATCACCCTCTATCTCCCTCTCCTCCCTCTCTCTCTCTCTCATTTCTTTCTCTTTTTCTCTGTCTCCCTCTCTCTCATTCCTCTTTCTCTCATCCTTTTTTCTACCTCTCTCTCCCTCTCATCCCCATCTTTCCCTGAGAGAGAGAGAGAGAGGGAGGGAGGGAGGGAGGGAGGGAGGGAGAGAGAGAGAGAGAGAGAGAGAGTGCACATTGTGAAGTGCGCTTTTGCTGTGCAAGGCATTGCAAGAGCAGCGGGCAGGCCATGGAGGGGGTATTGGGTCTTCCCCCCACCCCTCACCAAAGGAAAGCCAGCCAGGCTTCTCCTTCCCTCCTACCCTTCCCGCTTCCTCCTGCTTCCTTCCCCCCACTCAATCCTACTTTGGAACAGAAGAGCACACTCTGGAAACACGTGTTGGGCTGACGTCGGAGCACATCTTCTGACCCTCCGGTGCTCGCTGGCAACTCTCCACGCTCCTCCAGGCCCAGTTTGCTGAGGGAGGGGAGCAGCCCTGACACCTCTGCTTCCACCCCAGATGGCCTCAGTGATTGCTGCTTGGGGAAGGCACATGAAATGAAAGCAAGCAGAAACATAGCTCTTGCTGCGGCGAAAGAGCTGAGATTGGGGAAGGCACAGACAACAGAAAGCAGCATGTTTCAAAGGCAGCGAACAGTGTCCCACTGCAAGAGCTGGGCATGCTTCTCCGCTGTCCAATTTGCCGATGGGTCGCCTATGGCAGGCCATCTCTCCTGCTGTTGTGCTTGGCGTTCGGCGTGAAGGGGAGCGCTTCCCCACACCGCCCCCTTCTTTCTCTTGGCCCTGCTGACAAGGGAAGAGGAAGGGCAGGTTTGGGGGATGGCCCCCATCCCGCAAGATCCACTTCCGCTGTTCTCTCCCAGCCCTTTTTGCTGGCGGCAGCAGCAAATGTATCGCCATGAAGGCAGAATGCTGTTGCCATGCAAAGGCAAGTGCAGGGGCGCTTTGCTCCCGCACTAAAGCTCTGACCATGCCACTGCCATGACAGGATGATGGCTCTTTCATCCCTCTGCTGCGACAGGGTGTCAGGGAGCCGCAGCAGAAGGCCCAAAGAGCTGCAAGCAGCTCCAGAGCCACAGGTTGCCGACCCCAGGTTTACACACAACCAGGTTTCAGCAAGCACAAATTGCTGAAACAGAGCAATTGTAAGAACATGTTTAATTGGATTATGAATTGACTGATCTAATAATTTTATCTTTATTTTTATTTAAGAATATTTGATTCTAACATTACAATTTTCATTAAATATGAAATATGCCTTTGGTTAAGTATAAGAATTGGCAAATTCCATTTTCCTATTAAATAATGTTGGGATTTTTACTATATTATCTTCTTTGATTCTAGCTCTCTACTTCAAAAGACCTTGGAGACTATTAATGAGAGTTGACTGGACAGGTCCTTTTTCTGTATCGGTAAAAAGGCCAAACACTATATTATATGCAGTAGTGGGCTGCAACCGGTTTAACAACCATTTTGGTGAGCACGTGCAAGTGCCTAACATGCTTGCATGCAGCACTCAAAATAAAGCAATTTGAAGCTTAGCTACTTACCTTCTAAGGCAGCCCCGGTAAGTAGAACAGCGGAGGCACAGAAATCATCTGTGCCGTGCAAATCAGCTGAGTCAGAAAGAAGGAAATATAGGATAGGATAGGGCGGGTATGGGTGGGCAGGGCCAGCTGATCATCAGAACTACTGGTCTGCCTGAACGGGTCCAAACCGGCAGCAGTCCACCACTGATTATATGTAACTCCAAACAGTTGCCCTATTACTTTTCAATTTATGTCTAAAACAAATGATTCAAATACGTGCTGATCCAGCCCATCATCTGGCCACTCTGTAGGCCGGTTATTATTATGTCTACGTCACAGATGGAAAAGAGAAAAGCACTTAGGCAATAGCTTTAGTCTGCAGGGAACAAAAACTATTAATAAAATATCAGAAAACCAAGGTCTTAGTTTTTTGCTTGACACTATCATAAAATAATATAAAGTAAACAAATGGAACTCCAAACAGGTGCACACCTGTAAATTTCATACCTCCTTATCCTGGTATACTCATTTTCTTACCTAGAAGTTTTATGCAGTGTACACCTCTACAGCTATGGTAAGATTTTATCATTCAAAAGAAGTCCATTATGCTCCTGCAGCCTGCAAGATCTTCCAAGTTAAGGAAGTCCTATAGTTTTACTATGGCTTCCAAATTTGCTCTCTTACAAAGCTGTTACTTTGAATGGGTCACTAAACAAATAGTTGTAAGTCGAAGACTACCTGTACAGTGTGTTTATGTTTTAAATGTACACACACAATCAGAAAGCCACATATTTGTAGTGATTTTTTTCAGGAACCATATAAAATGTTTTATTATTTATGCCATCACTGCAGTCAAACATATAGAGTTTACCTCCCATTCAGTATGATATTCAGCTGATCATACTGCCTGAAACATAATGGAAGTTGAAATGGTTCTTCTTCCAAAAGTCTCTGTTAAACAGGTTATAGGAGGACCTGCATGTCTCCATTCTTCAGCTTTTAATTTTAATTCTTACCTTCTGTCATTTAACTGCTGTTTAATGGAAAGCAGTCACTACTGTGAGAAATGTTATACACATTTCTTGCAATGTTTAGATCCTTTTGGTTTCTTTAATACACTTATTTATTAAATTTGTTTGCTGCCCATCAGGCCTCAAGGCGATTCTTATCCTGTATCAAGGTAAATCACATCAACTAAAATATTATTGTCTTTAGTATTTTCCAAGTATTGAGAAAGCAGCCATTTTTCTATTCAGACTTATTAAGCCAAAGAATTTGGAATTAAACCATTGAAATATATGACATATTCATATCATAGATCTGCCAGTTCTAATAGTGTCCCTTTAAAAACATTCTTTTTATTGTTACTGTATTATTTCTTCTACCTGAGTAAAGTCAGAGGAATAATTTTCTCATCAACAAATGACAACCAACCCAACCCACATTAACACTCTAGAGGAATTAAGTACCCTTAAGACTTGTCATCCCTTCATTCTAAAAATAATGAGACAATTTTTCCTTTCACCCTTTACGCCTCCCTCCCACAGCCACCATCTGCCCAAGAAACAACAGAGAAATTAACATAAAATGTTGGCAGCAGAGAAGATGTCCCACTGTATGGGGAGAACTTAAAGAACAAGAACGGTGATTTAATAAAGCATGTTTTCTTTTAAATCTTGTCCTGGAGATACATGTCTTTTAAAGTGTGACAATAATTAATCAATATTCAATGACAGCAAAACAGGTTACGATTTTAACAAAGTTAAAAAAAAATCTATCAATAAAGTTAGAATAATATAGGGAATGGAATCACCACTTTCTAGAAATTATATTTGCAAACTTCCCAGGATATGTATGCATATAATCACATTCAAGTAAAATGTGAGACAATTGTTTTAAGTTTTGTAAGCAAACTTGATTTCCCTGCCCTGTTTCTCCCAAAATAAGACATCCCTGATAATAAGCCCAATCGGGCTTTTGAGCACATGGCAATAAGGCCAAGCACTTATTTCAGGATTCAAAAAAATATAACAGGGTCTTATTTTCGGGGAAACACGGTAATATTTTTTTCCTTGGCATTTATTTACTAAACAAACTTATATAGAATTCCAGAAGGAATTCTGGGCAGCAAACAAAATTAAAATATAATACAATAAAAGACCATTTGAAATAATAAACATCATCGAGGCCTTAGTAAAACTCAAATTTATTCATCAATTGCCCCATGCCATCAGTCACCCAGTGCCTAGGGGGAAAGGCAAGTCTTCACTGGTCAGGAAATAACTCACTGCTGGTTCTGACCGTCTGTAATTTCCTATTCCCATTGTCTGAGTTGCAGTATCAATTGCGTATTGCCCAAATAAGTACAGTGAATCCATATTGCTTGATAAACCATAGTTTAAATTACATTTGTTAAATTCACATACGATAGAAAACTATGACTATTAAAAGTGTATGTGGATATTTAGAAACTATTTCGTTCCTGTCGCTTCAATGAAAGAACATTGCTACATACTATACTAGAATTTGGCACTAAACACCTACACTCATTCCTGTTTTATCTTTGGCCAAAATAATGACAGAAACAATTACGTCACCAGACAAATGACTAATTTGGGATTATAATGTCAGGTATGAAAACAAGCTTACCTTGAAGAGAACGTTGCAAATTATTCATGTTTTGGTCTAAAAGCTGAGAAGGAAGGAAGCCTGATGATGATGATTGATTGCTCTCCATTTCTCCCACAGAAGAGCTTGCCCCTGTCTCAGCAAGGGTAACCTCTCCAAAGACAGCTACCCATTCCCTGCTGAATTCACCATCATCCAAAGAAGATGCATTGAGAATCTCATTCAATAATACCATGTCATTCTTATCAGTAGGTTCAGGTTCTAGGGTGCTCACAAGCTGGTCCTTTGATACTGCTAAAAGAACAATAATATACAGATTGATAGATTAGTTAAAATAAGAATAAATGTAAGGAATAACCACCCAGATCTATCCAAAGGGAATGAATTCAGAAATAGACTACATATAAAATTCTAAGCATAGTACTATCTAAGCACTATGTAAGTACTATGATAGTACTATCATAGTATGATCTAAGCATAGTACACAAAATTGTCTGCTACAAAGTCTTACCTGTCAACAACTTCTTCAGCTTCAACCTCAATAATACATGCGCAAACAATCGATACAAATTCAAGGTAAACCGCTCCAAACGCAATTGCAGAAAATACGACTTCAGGAACAGAGTGGTCAACGCCTGGAATGCTCTACCCGACTCTGTTTTTACAGCCTCAAACCCTCACAGCTTCAACCTTAAACTGTTTACTGTGGACCTCACCCAACTCCTAAGAGGTCCGTAAAGGGGGTGTGCATAAGCACACCAGAGTGCCTACCGTCCCTGTCTTACTGTCCCCATTTATATGTATTTACTATTTTTTTCATGCTTATTTATTTATTTATTTATTTAATTTTTATACCGCCCTTCTCCCGAAGGACTTAGGGCAGTGAACAGTCAAAATAACATACATATAAAATGTGAAATAAATTTAAAATAATTAAACCAATTTGGATAAAAAACTCATCAGTTAAGAATCTTCAGCATAAAATTTAGAACAATTAGAAGAAATTTATGCTAGCCCGGCCTGGTGAAATAGAAAGGTCTTAAGTGCACGACGGAAAGTACGGAGATCTGGGATCATTCGTATCCCTGGGGGTATCCTGTTCCAAAGGGCAGGTGCCCCCACAGAAAAGGCTCTCTCCCTGGGAACCACCAATCGAGAGTGGGCACCCTGAGGAGGCCCACTCTCTGGGACCGTATTGGTTGGTGGGAGGTTATCGGTTGCAGAAGGTGGTCTCGTAGGTACCCAGGTCCTAAGCCATGGAGCACTTTAAAGGTAAGAACCAACACCTTGAAGTGCAGTCAGAAGACCACCGGGAGCCAGTGCAGCTCGCGTAGGAGAGGTGTTACATGTGAGCGCCTTGTCGCTCCCAATATCATCCACGCAGCTGCATTCTGGACCAGTTGGAGCCTCCGTGTGCACCTCAAGGGGAGCCCCATGTAGAGAACATTCCAGTAGTCCAGACGGGAAGTGACGAGGGCATGGGTGACTGTGCATAAGGAGTCCCGATCTAGAAAGGGTTGCAACTGGCGAATCAGGCGAACCTGACAGAAAGCTCCCCTGGCCACGGCCGTCATATGCTCTACTAAAGACAGCCGTGTGTCCAGGAGGACACCCAAGTTGCGAGCCCTCTCTGTGGGGGCCAATGACTCGCCCCCAATAGTCAACGATGGTATCAGCTGGCTATATCAGGATGCCGGCAGCCACAGCACTCTGTCTTGGAAGGGTTGAGTTGGAGCCTGTTTCTCCCCATCCAGATCCGCACGGCTTCAAGGCACTGGGACATCACTGCAAGGGCATCATTGGGGTGGTCTGGGGTGGAGATGTATAGCTGAGTATCATCAGCGTAAAGATGGCATTGCACCCCAAAACCATGGATGAGCTCACCCAGCGGCTTCACATAAATGTTTAACAGAAAAGGTGAAAGGACCGACTCCTGCGGCACCCCACAAATAAGGTGTCTTGAAGTCGACCTCTGCCCTCCTGCCAACAGACTGTTATGTTGTGTTACTTATGTTCATACATACTTGCTATCTTGTACATGTTCGACAAACAAATAAAAGGGCAACAGTGGGGGATGGAGAAGCGGCCAGGGCTGATTCTCCGGCGCCTTACTCTTGCTGGAACTTCTTCCACCTCTTGTTGGTGCTCGGTGTGGCAACCTGCTCTCCGCCCCAAGACACTGGCCTGACCCAGCAGCCTTGCTAACATGAGGGCTGGTAGGGTGGGAATGGGAGCTTTAAGAAGCTCAGGGCAGCAGGAAAAGGGGCTGGCCTCACCAAACCTCGCAACCCACCCTGGGGGTCAGGCTTCGAGAAAGCCGGAGTGTCCTCATCAAAAACGCTCACCCGTCAGCCAGTCTCCCTGTGTGTGTGTGTCTCTCTCTCTCTCTGTGTCTCTCTATGTCTCTGTGTATGTGTGTTTGTGTGTGTGTGTATCTCTCTTGCTCTCTCTCGCTCCCTGTCTCTGTGTCTCTTTTCACTCTCTCGGAAAGTGCAGTGAGCTCTCCTTGGGGCTCTTTGCTACTCCTTTCTTCTTTTTGGAAATCCAGGCTGGCTGAGGAATGAGCGCAAGCCACGGAGGAGGCTTCCCTCCTCCTCCTCCTGCCCCTCCCCTCCTTCTCCTCTTGTGCGCACCCTCCCGGTCCCACCACAACTGGTCAGAGGGTCACGAGAGGAGAAGGAGAGGAGGAGTGAAGACTCCATTGCAGCTTGCACTTGTTCCTCAGCCAGCCCAGATTTCCAAAAGGAAGAAAGAAAAAGGGGTAGTGAAGAGACTCAAGAGCTCGCTGGGCTTTCTGAGAGAGTGAGAAGAGACACAGAGACAGGGAGCGAGAGAGAGATAAGATACACACACACACACACACACACACACTGACATAGAGAGTCACAGACACACAGAGAGGGAGACATACAGAGAAAGGGAGTGGGGGAGAGAGAGGGGGGAGAGATAAAAAGAGTGGGGGGAGAGAGAGGGGACACACACAGAGAGAAAGATACAGAGGGGGGAGAGAAACACACACACAGAGGTACAGAGAAGGGGAGAGTGGGGGGAGAGCCACACACAGAGAGATACAGTGGGGGACACAGAGAGAGATGTCAAAAGAGTTTTGTGGCACCCCGTTTTTTTTAACAAGGGTTCTCTGCCCTAATGACCGGCTGGGTAGGCATGGCTAGGGGGATCACGTGACTGGGTGGGAGTGAGTGATGTCACACTGGCCATGCCCACCCAGATTTTGTGGCTCCCGTGTTTTCTTTTCAAATGGCTCTTTGAGTGTTTAAGGTTGCAGATCCCTGCCCTAGGCTATACAGATAGTTCCATCTGGTAAATATAATTTCCCATATAACCCTTGATTAATGTGTGCACAATTATTTAAATTTAATAAACAGTTGAGCCAAATAATCTTCTTAATATAGTTCTCCAGTTTTATATTTTGGAATCATTATGTAATCTGATCTCTCATATTTCATATTAAGCTTAACTATCTTAGTTTATGCTAGAAAGCATGCTCTGACTACTGTTAAAAAGAGACACTGTAGTACACTTCCCAATTTTTAAAAGCATCCGCAAAATTTTACCAAATAATTATTTTCACTAATAATCTAAAATATAAAATTTGTTTTTTGGCAATGTTTTCATTCTTCTTGTAAAAGGAGATATAATTTAATAAGGCTAGTAAATAAAAGGCCCAAGAGAGTTTACCTAGCAAAGAGTTTACTTTCTAGTGACATTATTCTTACTGAACTTAAAATCAAGAGTTTGGCTGAAAAAGAATGATCTTTCATTTCATTTCATTTTCATTTTATTTCATTTATATACCGCCCTACTCCCGAAGGACTCAGGGCGATGAACAGGCACAAGATAAAACACATAGAATACAAAAATTTAAGAGCAGAAGTAAAATCGAATTAAATCAATTTAGCCCAAGACAAATTTAAAACACCAGGTTAAGAACAAATTAAAATTTACATTAAAAAGAGAATGGGAGAGGTTAGGCCAGACCAGCCTGGTGAAATAAAAAGGTCTTGAAAGCGCGGCGGAAGGTGCGTAGATCCGGGATCCTCCGTATCTCCGGGGGGAGCTCGTTCCAGATAGTAGGTGCCCCCACAGAGAAGGCTCTCCCACTGGGGGCCGCCAGCTGACATTGTTTGGCCGATGGCACCCGGAGAAGTCCCTCTCTGTAAGAGCGTACCGGCCGGTGGGAGGCCGTTTGCGGCAGCAGGCCGTCCCGTAAATAACCAGGCCCTAAGCCATGGAGCTCTCTAAAGGTGGTAACCAAAACCTTGAAGCGCACCCGGAAGACCACCGGGAGCCAGTGCAGCTCGTGCAGGAGAGGTGTTATATGGGAGCGCCACGTCGCTCCCATAACCACCCACGCGGCCGCACTCTGCGCCAGTTGGAGCCTCCGGGTGCTCCTCAAGGGGAGCCCCATGTAGAGAGCGTTACAATAGTCCAGGCGGGAAGTGACGAGGGTATGAGTGACCGTGCTTAACGAGTTCCGATCCAGAAACTGGCGAATCAGACGGACCTGATGGAAAATCCTCCCGGTCACGGCCGTCAAGTGCTCTTCTAAAGACAGCCGTGAATCCAGGAGGACGCCCAAGTTGCGAGCCCTCTTTGTGGGGGCCAGCGATTCGCCCCCAATAGTCAGCAATGGCGTCAACTGACTATATTGGGATGTCGGAAACCACAGCCACTCAGTCTTGGACGGGTTGAGCCTGAGCCTGTTCCTTCCCATCCAGAGCCGCACGGCCTCCAGGCACCGGGACATCACTTCAAGGGCATCGTTGGGGTGGTCCGGGGTGAAGATGTACAGCTGAGTATCGTCAGCGTACTGGTGGTACTTCACCCCGAAACCATGGATGATCTCACCCAGCGGCTTTACATAAATGTTGAACAGAAGGGGCGAGAGGACCGACCCTTGTGGCACCTCACATATGAGGCGTCTCGGGGTCGACCTCTGCCCCCTGCCAACAGAGACTGTGACCGGTTGGAGAGAAAGAAGGAGAACCACCGCAACACGGTGCCTCCCACCCCTAACTCTTCCAACCAGTGCAGCATGATACCATGGTCGATGGTATCAAAAGCCGCTGAGAGATCTAATAGGACCAGGACAGAGGAGCAACCCCTGTCCCGAGCCCTCCAGAGATCATCCACCAACGCGACCAATGCAGTTTCCGTGCTGTACCCAGGCCTGAAGCCCAACTGGAACGGATCCAGATACGCCGTTTCATCGAGGTGCTGGGGGAGCTGTCGTGCAACCATACTCTCAACAACCTTCGCCACACAGCAAAGGT